TTCAGAAGCAATCCGAAGTATAGCTAACATATACCTAGAGGGAGACGTGCGGAATAGAGTTTCTAAACACAGAGTACAAATATTCACTGACATTAGGATGCGGGCAAAGAACAAGTATGCGCGGAGCAAAGTCTTGGATAGGACAAAGAATTTGCCCAAAACTTGTCCGTACATAAAATGAACCTTCATTAGGAATGTCATGGCGGAAAAAGTATTTACAGTTTCTCTAAAATCACTTATATCTTGAGAGATAACTTTAACAATTTTCGGAAGCGAGTTCATGTAGCCTAGTAGGAATAGTTCCTGAAAATAAAGTTAACTTGAACTTCTTGACCAAAGAAAGCCCTTTTATTAACCAAGAATATTGTCGTAGCTTGTTATACATTGCACAAGCTTCATTTGACTATTCTGTGCTTTTTTTTAATTTCAAGTATTGCCGATTACTCTAACATATTGGAATGTGCTGCATTGATGTCCTTTATTTTATTGTCAGGTGCAGTTGAAAACGCTAAAAAGGAAGGAATTCGATGCAATCCGCATAGGATAAAGAGTTGAAAATGAAACAAAATTAATATCTTAGTTTTTGTATTTTAAAATGAGTTTGCCGTTCCGAGACAGCTGCGCCCTCCGTATTTTAGGGATAGCTTGCGTTTGATTACGCGCAATATTTACGTATTACTATCAGAAGCGGTCAGTCCGTCACCGTCAGTGTTCAGGAGTAAAGATGGCACGGTGCTTGGTGTAAAGAAATTAAACCATTAATGCATTATACCTGTGGTGTGTTGCATATTAACAATAGAATTTACAAAACCTTGAGGTTATCTTCTTATTAACGATGATTTTTTTCGTTGTTAAGTGACAGCGATTTTTTAATCAAACAAAAATTTATGACATTCGAGCCGCGAGATTTCATACCTACTGAAATTATATGATATTAGAGCCGCGATATTTCAGACAAAAATAGGACTTTTCCAGACTAAATTAGAGCCGCGATATTTCAGACAAAAATAGGACTTTTCCAGACTAGGTGGTAACCAGAGATTTTATAATAACAGTTCATTTTTAATTTCCTCATTTACTCAATATTTAAACCAATTTCTTATGTATGATAATGCTGGTATGCCGTGGTATCTATGATACTTTACTGGTCTACTAAATACTTATACTATATAGGACTCAAAAGGCTAAGAGGCTAAGCATAAGCACTCGGCAATATTTTGTTTTGATTTGTACCATGCATGATCATCATTCATCACAACAATCTGATAATCTTCTAATGTTATGAAAACCTACAGGACAAATTTAAATCACTGCGAATTTAATAGCCGTTGCTACAAATCTTATCAATCATAAACTATCAAAACTTATCAAAAAATAAAATTTGGTCGTACTATATTCGGTAGCTTTCGTTAATATTAAAAAGCAAATCCGAACACAAATGACAATCCTAGTTTCCTGCCAGCCGCACTTTCCGTAACAACAACGCCTTTCCATCGAGTAGGAATTATCTAATGAGGTCACGTCACAATCATTATGTCGTAGGATTTTCAGATTAATGACAATTGTTTGCCGGGAAATATATTGGAGCAAAGAAATCACCCATATAATTAAATCACACTGTTTTATTCAGAGAAAATTTTACATGAAAACCCTTTTATATATATAAAGGACATATTTTTCGGCAAGAAAGAGGCCAATGGCCTGTTGCCGTTGTAGCGGTCTCGTTCAGGATTTTGAATTAATATAATAAAATATTTAGAAATTAGAATTATATTAAAATTATAAAAATAAGATTTTGTTTATATATGAACATCACCTCGACGAATACAACAGTAGTTAACTTCATTTCAACTTTTAGTATTTCGATTCATTTCACCGGAACCTCTTATTAGAGTAAGTACCTAAAGTGTAGCCACAGTAATCGCATAGTAATTGCTCTGTTCAAAAGCTAAAGTGAATTATAATGATTATAATCTTTTTCTATGCGCTTGTATTTGTGTAACTTGAGACTATCTGTTATTCATACAGGGTTCTATACAGAGACCAAAAAAGCGTCTTTATTTTTCCCGAAATCAACGTGAGACGCTTTACCGATTCTTGAATTTTTCCTGACTTGATTTACAATGGATCCGGCCTTTGGAACCCGATCTTTCCATAACTGACGATTGATTGAGATAGCTGCTGGACTTATTGCCTGGTCCATAATTTGCTATGCATTTTAAGACTGAACATATGATCCTGCATAGCTTCGTCTAGTCTTTTCTTGAAGGTGTTCATACTCGGATCGTCAACGATGCAATCAGGGAGGCTGTTCCACATGTCAGTGACACGAAGTGAGAAGATGGATGTGTGTTGTGTTGTCGCATGGATGTGTTATAACGCAGTTTTTTAGTTTATAGCCGTGGGCCCTGGTGTTGGTTCTTGTTTCTGTATTGTTGTATACTGTATTCTTAATATAGGCTAATATAGTCGTCCGAAAACCTTCAGTTGAATGATTTTAAAAGTGATCAACATATATTTACGGACAGTGAAACAAGCTCTAATACCATGCAGGTGAAATCTCTCGGATGGAATGAATCCTGCATTACACATCGTATAGTTGTATAAATACAAACATGTAGATGGAGACTCATCCCTGATGACGAGAGTCTCGACATGGTGGCCCAGTGGTTAAAGTTCAGAGTACCAAGATTGACGCACTAGAGAGGCGCGGGTTCAATCCCAGCTCTGTGCACAGTTTCTGGTCAGAATCGGCAAGGAGGCCGGGCGGTTAAGCACAACAGAATTGTAGCAGTGCGTTGCGAGTTCGAGACCTCAAAATGCTGTGAATGTTCTGCGATGTCAAGAATCGGCTACAGGCCTACGGCCTAATAAACGCTGAAACCGCTATTAGAATAGAATAGAAGTGTCGGCGTTGAAGAAATAGGCCCATGGCCTGTTGCCGATTCTTGAACTTTTCGTGACTTGATTCACAAGGGATCCGGCCTTTGGAACCCGATCTTTCCATAGCCTGTCTCTTATACACATCTCTGCTGGACTTATTGCCTGCTCCGTAATTTGCTAGGCATTTTAAGACTGAACATATGCTCCTGCATAGCTTCGTCTAGTCCTGTCTCTTATACACATCTAGATGTGTATAAGAGACAGTTCCATTACCTTGCAAACGACACTTGTCAAACTGACAGGGCGATAGTTGCCCGGGCAGCTTTTGTCACCTTTTTTGAACAATGGTGTCACTTGAGCTTCTTTCCAGTCAGCCGGCAACATTCCTTCGTTCAAAGTTTTTCGGAAAAGTGACGTCAGAGGGCCGGCTAGGACAGTTGCTAACTCTTTGAGTAATCTGGGGTGGAAGCCGTCTGGTCCACTATTATTATTATTATTATCGACAGTCTAATAGCGTCGTGCGCCGCATGACGATGCTGTTGCAAGCTTTTAAGACCGGGCAGGTGGCGGTCTCCTCATGTGGTACTATGGTCCTCCGCACTGGAGGTGGCAAGCGAGTCCGCGGCTCAATATAGTTATGGTCAATCATTGTAGCTTTACGTTATGGAGAATGAACCTTCTTTATTGCGGGAGAATGCATAAACAATGTTGGTTTCCTGTAGCAGTCCCGGATGTTTACAAGGATTATTTTTCATGACGATTTTCGGGTTATTGTAGTGTAGTGTATCAACAGTTTATTTCGTCATCCCCTAACTTTTCTTGATGTAATTTAGCAGAATTGTCTGTATGATCCTTTCATACGCGGTGTAACCGCAATTAACCTGTTCATGGTAGTAGTTTTAATATTTCAGTCTTGTGCTGATTCGTCGTTCAATCTCTTTGTCTCCGTCGATAATTTGCAGTTTCCGCTCAAATTGTTTTGTTTGTATACTGTTTTGTTATCAATATTATCTTTTTAGCCATGACTTCAGTTATTAAATCACTTTCAGCTGCGCATTACAGGTCTTGAACGCTTAGTTGTACTCGTGTAATGGCGCGGATGGTGGTTCTTTTGTAGTGCTGAGGATAATCACTAACTTCGTTAAGCACCTTTCCGACATACGAAGGTTTCAAGTGAACATTAGTGCTGAACAAATTCTGCTCAACTTGTACCAGTATATTTACATCAAGGAGAGGCAACGTAGTAAGATTACGCATAAATTTAGAAGTGAACGTCAAGACTAAATCAAATTCTAATGCTACACGTAGTTCCGTCATGTGTTCTTCGCCCCATTCAACGACAAAGACGTGGTCGACGTATTCACGGAAAATAAAGTTCAGGCTTGCTCTTTGCGTCCATAAACACTCAATGCAAGAGTTTGCATGCGTACAATACAGCAAATGTGTGGCCCAGGAAACTGCCCCTGACTACGCCGTTGAATTGTCGATAAATTTTACTTCCAGGAGCTCATGCAGAGAAACGATTCAGAGGTACGAAGACAAATATAGTTAGTATTCCTTAAATTGGAGGTTTCATTCCAATAGACATGCTTAGGAATTATCTTCCTTCGGTAGGGAAGTTGGCAAACAGACTATAGTGACACCCAGTGAAGCAGACACAGGGTAGGCGCATTGCGAAAAAATTTCGCTGATGTAACTTGTAAAAATTAGAATTTTTTGATACGTGTTATAATAAAGTATCCAATTCTTTAGCTGCCTTACAGATTTAAAGAGGTAATTTTCTCAATGAAATATCTTATGGGGGCTGATATATAGGTATGCTTTTTTTAGCATTTTCGAATGAGTAGCCTGGAGAATAACTTCTAACTATCGGGGTGAGGTTTTTCAGCTCTCCGTATTGATAAATTAATTCCCTTCTTTCTTGAGCAGTTCTATGAGGTCTCTCGTGACGCGTCAGAGTTCTGACATCTGATACAATCTATTACAGTTTAAACAAAATTGGGCTGAAATCTGTCTCTCGCTTAGAAAAGCCAGCGAGTTAAATGGTGACATGAATTGAATATTTGTTAGGAATAAAATTTCAGGAACTCTGAAAGAGGGATAAAAATATAGTTAAATCTAGAAGTCAAGTTTATTAGGTAGGCTTCCACTGCAAGAAACTGTGTTTTTAACGGGATCAGTTGCACTCCTACTGACAGTCTCGGATAAATCTGGTGGTAGATGTAGTTTCTCGATGGAAAGTTTCTTTCTCTTGAGCCTGAACACCCAATCATGGGTATCAACAAACGGTGCCACCAGCGAATTCCCAGCAGAGATCTTATTTATATGGAGAAGGCCATGATACTCTTTAAAGAGAGGATTCACTTCCTTATCGGTGCCTTGAAAAGATTCCAGGCCGATAACGTAATCAGCATGATAGCTCAATCGCCCCAACAATGCCGAGTCAACGAATAGGTAAGAAGGCACGGATACAAAAGCTACGGTGTAAGACTGACGTGCCAAAGCACGGAGCAAGGCGAAGAAAGATGTAACTTCAGACCAGACAGGATTTGTGGAGTCAGAACCAAGGGAGTGACATAAATCATCACCCCATTCACAAGAGGCAAGCGAGAAAATCCCTATACGCATAATGTTAGGCTTGTCGTTTGGTGTGGATGTGAACAGTTTTCGAGCAGACAAAAGGGAATGCAGGCAACTAAATAAATTTCTATATAAAGGCAATGCGGTTGCGTTTGAATTAGGATGTTTCTCCTTTCCATCCCAATAAAATTTTTCGCAATTGTCAAGCAAATCTGCAGACATGGTAGACTTCAAATCGTAGTGATGGCCAAAAGACCGAGAATTGTCACAAGAGGTTACTTGATTGAGGTTTTGATATCTCCAAGCAATCTTCATACTCTCACTTTCGTCGTTTTCTTCTCTTGAGTCTTCTTTATTAGGGACTGGTGACGGCAGACTTGAGATAAGCTTCACTGGGTCGCTATCTACGCTGGCAACCATTACTTCGTGACCAGATGTGACACCTTCAGCCAAAAAACACTTCATGAAATACTGAGCGTAGACGTTGCTTTCGTCCTCCTCCAGCAGAAGCAAGGACCCGACAGGGATGCCGCCTCCCAGTATTCCATCCAAGGAAGGTATGCCAGAGGAGACTAGAAGCTGAGAACTGTGTAGGGAAGCACACGTGCCTGGCAGACAGATGGTCTGGGCACGATTGCCTTTAGGCTTGAAGCTACTTTTTTTCTCGGACGTGGTGCTGATATTGCTGCTCATAGTGTTGATTTTAAGCTTTAAGCCAGTTACTGATGTCAACAGTGGTGCTGGTGCTGCTCAATATTGCATAGGTGCAGTAGGTGATGTCTGATGTATATGCAGCCACTACTATCGTTGAGAGAAGGCCTTACTTCAGGTGTGAATTGAAAATTTGTATTGCAGAGATGTTCGTCAAATTCACAGCATTTCTGAAAGAAAAGTCACAGTTAGATTTTACATTCTGACATAGTATAATAAATGCCAGCATCAGGCATGCAGGCCATATTATTTAATGCAATGTAAGTCAACATTTTATGGAGAACTATATCATTCAATGATATAGTTTAGTTAGTCAATGAGAATTAGCTAGTAATTTCCAGTTGCAATCCAGTCTTCAGAAGCTCAGAAAAAAATTTATTACCCCTCCAAAGATCAAATGAACATCTTTACTATTAATGGTAATAAAGTTGCTAAGCGTAACAAACTGAAGAAAATTTTGCCACTCATCTCAATTTATAAAAAATTTCAGAAAATATGGCAGAAACAGTTAGGCATACTACATGGACTGCTTTTGTTACAGACCCATGTGGCCTGATCAGGGGGAAAGAAGGGGAATTTATTTAGAAACATGAAGAACAATGTTATACCAGAAATATATGGTTGTGTCTAATCAGCATGCACACTCAATCCTCTAGGTTATATGCAGTCAGAAGCTGCAGAAAATGTAGGTTCAAATATTTCTGACAGAAGTTTTGTACCTGCAAAAGAAAAAAAACTTCCTAATCAGAAAATTTCAACAATTTTTCCAATATAACAAATCTATTCTTATCCAATTAATGATAAGTTCAAACTTAAGAGAATAGAGGAACCTGAGATCCTAAATCCTGGTGAATGAGGTTTAATAGACTTCCAGTCATTCATGGTATAAGTGGGACTTTAATTAGCACATTTTCTCATTTATGGAAAAAAGGTGCTATTGTGCTCGTCATGTCTGTCCTAACGTGACTGTCCGTCTATGACTTCACACACGTCATGGATGCATGAGAAAATGTGCTCTCTGTCACTCACTGCAGTGAATACTGATCTAATTTTTTTACAACAAGTCTTAGACTCTGATCTCTCAGCTGAGATACTGCAAATGCAATTTGATATGTAAACTATGTACCTATAACAAATATTTATCCAAAATGCCTGATTTACTACCAAATGGCAGAATTTTCCTGTTTATATGCATACAAATAATGACCAAAGGATGCATTACAATTTTAAGGAGTCCAACAATTCTCTAAATGATGTTGGTAGATCAATAGGCAGGTTTAGCATGTAAAAATAATATACTAACAATTTTTCAATTGAGGCTGGTGTGGTCTATGGTCTATTAATTTATTATTGATCCTATCCATGGTCTATTAATTTTAAATGACTTTTGTTCCATTCAAAAGATTGTTAATATATTATTATTACTTGTTAAACTGGCAAAAGATAAGAAATCTAAAAAATAGTGTGACCTCTTGAAATTGTTATGCATTCTTCAGTCATTGAGAATACCTAATATTTTAATTAATAGGTCCCAATTTTTTTAAACTTTGAGAGTATATATGTCAGCAACAACCCACAACTTTCAGGTTGCCTCAGATGTTTGAATTTAATGGTGCCATAGATATTTGATACAAAGAAAATGTTACAAGTCTGCTGGTCAGATAATAATCATTGTCTCCCAATCTAGAATACCAGGCAGCATTTTTAAAAAAATATGGGTAGAAATATTTGTTTAATTCACTACCGGTATTTTTTGAAAATACTAAACAAATCTGTGCTGTATTATAGCATCATATGGAAGAAACCAGACAAGGGCCATGTAAACAGGTGATATTGACTGCACAATAACAGGCATTTTTGTCTCATTCACAGGTGGCTCCTGCCTTATTTTATATAATGGATTGTCTCTGTAGTCTGTAACATGAAGAATGTGTTTAACTGTAATGCAAACTCACATTAAATACGATTAAGTCAAGATTAAGAATACAATTAAGAGATTAAATACAATTACTGTCATGATTAAAATCTCTTAACAAACAAGATTTACATTGGTAATTGGTTTAATTGCTACTCTGCTTTTTATTTTAAAATGAATGATAAAAGTTTAAATTTTAATTTTTTTAAATTTGCATATTTTACTTTACAATAATAATAATAAGGTAAATTGACAATTGGTAGGACATAACAACTTTTAGTTTAACTTTATAAGTGTTATCCCAAGAAAGGCAAGAATTGAAACAATGATATTTACTCCATTTTAACTGCAATTTAGGATATTATATTATTTGCTTCAAATTTCTTAAAAATACAACAAACATGAATGTTGAATGATGCATCAATTTTTATATAATTATATAAATCTGTACTTGTACTAGTAGATTGTATCCTCGTGACTTATCCTTAATGTAGGCTTACAATTTTTAATGAAACCAACATTATACCACTGTGCAGAGAGTGGATGAATATTGCAAGATCTTTGGCAACGCTTCAGTAGCAAAATTTACGCCTTCAGAAGATCTTGCCAACACATTTAGATTGAAATTCTTGCATTTAATGTATTTGTCAGTCTTTGGCCAACTAATTAAAAAAAAAGTAAGGTTTCCTATATGTTGGATGGATCAGGATGCAGTGAAGATTGTCTGGAAATCAGTTGCGGTCACATTAGAGCAGTCAGACTGCATTATCACATGTTCAGTTGAGACTTGCTGTACAATCAGTGAATCAGACTGCTTTTAGGGTAGAATTAGTTATTTGGGGTAACATGTGCATGCAACCTTGTAAATAAGTTTGTGGCTTGTAAATAGTTTTTCATTACTCAACCTAATGGCTTTTCATTAAAAATTAATTGGCAATGCATCTTAAAATTACCCGGTGATGCTTAGGGCTTAAAAACCCATATATTGGTGACGCTGCATCCACCCTGGCAAGCGTGGAAAACATCTTCCCTTAGGGCCGCAACTAGAGCTTTCCTGCCACTTCCAGAACCGCGAGATTTCCAGCAGATGAATTACCTCCTATCTAATTGTTAACAAAAGTGCACTATCAGGCCGCAAAATTCCAATTGTATTAAAAATTTGACATGTTGGAGCCGCGAGATTTCAGAAACAAGTAGGAAAATTCCAATCCTGCACCCTGGCACCCTCTGCGCCCTGGCCAACATAAATGACTTTGCAGACATGATATTTCTGATTTATTTCAACAGTTCAGGCTGAGGAGACACATGATTTTGAAAAAATGAGTCTTATTGAAATTTTGCAGTTAGACTTGGTGCAGTAGGTGTAGGAGGACAATAATACAGCACATACACAGTACAGTAGATTGTCTGAGATTGAGTAGAACAAGAAACTAGTTCCGTCAGAATTTAGATTTTACACCTGCGTCAGATTCAGTCAACATTAATCTAGCAATTTACTTACTCAAAAGTCAATCCACATTCTAACTTCTAAGCTGCTTGGTTTGGCATGGAAGTGACTTATCTTCTTCTTTTCAGGGTGTTCATGCTGAGGCCTGGCCTGAGTACACTGGTACACAGTGCACAGGATACGCTGCTCGTTGTCTTTCTTTTCTTTCTTATTTATTCTTATAGGAGCACTGGAAACTAGTCCATAAAGCCCCTTGCCTAAACTGGGCTCGTTGTCAATGTCAACATGCAACACGCAGACACGGCACTTATCGGCGCTGCGGAATTAACAGAAATTCGTTGTTGTTTCCAGACTGATAAAAAAAACTTGAAACTGGTGAACTCTTGAATATTGTAGAATTTGCTATAGAAATTTGATTTTTATCAATAAAGTTGTACTATTATTGCGGTTTAGGAGCATTTTATTTTTTAACCAGATTTCAGATCGCATTAAAATCGATCTTCATTGGGACAGCTGATAACCACAGAACGACGCATTAAGCGTGCAAAAGTTATGATGTTGGTGAAGAGAAGCTTGGTAATCTTGTTAATCTTGGTACTTGTTTGGGACATTGCAGTCCCAGGCCACGATTGATCGCCGCCTCTGATTATCGTTCATCCGCCCTCATTTGGGCAACCTGATGCACGATGCTGTTCACCAAATTTTTAATATTACAGGTGGATTGTAAGCATTGATAGCTATGGAAATATTTTACAAGCTTCCTTCATGTTTTAATTTTCATAGTTTCATGTAAAATTATCCCAGGTAATGAGCACCTGGAAGAACATTACCAATTTTCACAGAAAACCTATTTATGACAGGTGCGTTACAGCCAGAATGTTGTTAAGTAGTTTGTTTGATAGAATTTTAATAATTCACGTAATATAGGCAGTGAGGCAATGCAAGTGACTCAGGGAAAGGCGTAAATTTTTAGCAAGATATCTGCTCCTGATGTCTTTTGTGGTAATTTGAACAATTTTGTTCAGGTTTTGAACATTTAAGAATGATGACTTGGATATGAGTAATGCATCTTAATAATTCAATTATTAGATCTGTCTGAATTGATACTGGTAGTACCTGAACTACCCGCGACTTGTGTACAGAAAATTGCAAATCACATCTTGTGCAGTCAACACGTAAACTCGTGCGACTCTAATACCTGCAGCGATATTCCTGGTTTTATTATACTGACATTTATTTTGGTAAGGTTTCATTCTTTAATACATTACGCACCTCTACAATACACTATCAAGAAGCCAGTAAAATGTTCTATTTTTAACAAAGCGACGAAGAACCAAAAGAGGAATATCACAAAAGTTGAAAGTTTGGTTGTCGCCGCCTCAGCGTGGGCACGTAGCCCCGTGACCAGCCCTGTGCACCACCCATTTCGAGAATGTCACGCCGCCCGTGACGTCCTCATAGGAAGCGAAGGAATGCAGCGGCATGGGTGCAAAATGGCCCAGGAATGGCAGTTTGCAGAGCGTCAGGCGCGGCAGAAGTACGGCACCAAACGACTCCATGGCTGACCCATCACCCACGTGATGCGGTTGCCGTGTCACAAGGTTCTTCTTGCCAGACCAGCCCACCACTCTGCCAACACCAGAGTAATCCATTCTTCAGAAAATCCCTACAAACTTCTACCAATTAATAACTCAAGTGCGCGTATTTCTTAAAAAAAACATTCGGGATTCCTCTAACAAAAACTACGCACATGGGATCAAAGATGTCATTTAAATACGGTTGATTCTAGACACTTTTATTTCGTTAATTGACTTAATTCATAAATTTAATCAGAATGTAGGACGGTGAAGCCTGACTGGGCCGGGAGAATGCATATGGTTGGATAAGAACCCACCAGTCACATGACGTGACAGCCGCGGGGCCGATGAACCCATGCCGTTCCGCCCAGTGCTGTAAATAATTATACGAAATATTTCTTAAACCTATAATATATCTATTAAATCAATAGGATGGAATTTCTGCATTAATATATTAAAACTATCATTTATCTATTACGCACTTAGATTCCAGCTGTAGCAATTAGTGAATCTTCTAAGGATCAATATACCTACATATATATCAATTCAAATTTAAGCTTTGGGCACAGCTCGTGTATCTCTTAAAAGTACACTGCATGCCAGCATTCAATTGTAGCTAATTTATACTCAGAATGTATCAATTGGATAGATCAGAACAAATATTTAATATGGAGAGGACCTTTATTTTAGTTCGGTCAAGAGGAAGAGTAAAGCTAGGTCAGCTTCCGCAACAGCACGGAAAACAGTCTTATACGACTCCGTTCTTGGACTTATCTCGTATGAAGCTGGTGCGTATATCTGAAGATAGCGGGTGCTCCGACCGAGGCTTGGGAGATAATGCCAGGGAGTGAATATACTAACGCATCATACCCTAAGTCCATCAACGACGAAAAATCAGCGATCCAAGTCCAGTCATGGTCTCCTGGTATTAGCTGAAGAAAAGCCACTGCCGCAGAGTAGTTAGTCAATAGAGGAGAGGCTAGCGCAGACTGAAATTGGTTAGCCATGCCCATGGTTAGCCGCTGGACTTGCAGTTCTCTTATCTCGAGAGGAAATCTCGAGAGCACAAGCCCGCGATAACACAAGTCGCTAGGATGGGTGCCAGGCTATTTAATGAATTTTGAATTTAACTGAGCGAAAATAATAGTAAGGTTAATTATAGTATAAGCTTAGAATAGCAGTGAACGCTTAATTAAATTTAAATGGCATATATTACCTTAAAACGTTACTATTTCCAACATGTTCTGTCTGAGCAATTACATTTTTTTTCAGTAATTCAAGCTATTATTTTCAATTGTATCAGAATATTTGGAAACGTGGAATCGCGATTATTAATATCATTCAAAATGTCTGTTTAGCAGTTGGAACAAAAATCTTAATTACATCAAATTATGAAAGATTTATAAATATCATGTTTAATTTGGTACTGTCGTCATTTGGTGAATGACATGTTGTACAGATGTACATCATAAATTACACAAGATAAAAAAGTGCACAAAGCAGCTAATAAGCTCTATCCATCTTACTTCTCTTCTGCAGACGCGCAAATTGACCTGCGATCTAATTATGTTAAATAATTTTATTTCAGCCATTAACATGTTTATAATTCATATTATATAAATTGCCTTCTCATATCAAGCTACGAGACGTTTTCTCTACCTCATGTCAGCAGCCCGCTACGTCGCTGCAGCTCAGGTCATCCAGGGTAAGCAGAGCCTTTATTTCACGCAAGCCTTCAGCCACAAACACTTGGGAGCGCCGTGACCCGCCATGCATGAAGAATTAGTGCCATCTTGTTCCCGTTTATGTGAAGATCTCAAGCGTAACTCGTTCATCACTTGAAGAGAATGGCTGGTGTTGGTCGTAACCTTTAACTTCTACCAACCAACCCATAACCTCTCTCGCTACAGTATTTAGGTGCACGGCTAGATAGCAGGTACCGTTTCCCTGCTCGCTCCCGAACACTCGTGAACTCGAACACATGCAACGGAACTCCCGCGGCTAACAAGGATAGTTCACCAAGTTGCTTCCGACCATTCTTCGGTGCACACAAAACACCCACGGAGCCAGAGGAGCAGCCATCAATCCCTGAGGTCCAGAGTGAAGAGATTCGGAACTTGAACGCTTGTGACCGACAAGCATAACGGACTTGTGCTCGACCTATGATGATATAGGCCCCATAACTGCAGGACCGCTCGCGTGGATGGATATTTTGTAAGTTATCTATGATTGCGTGCTGCTGCAGAACAGAAGGTGGAGTTGCGTATGATTGAACTGCGTCTCATTCGTCTCTGTTCCACCAATCGTTTACGACCTTTCGCTTGATTGTCGAACAGGCGGTGCACAAGCTTGCGAAAGCTTCTGACCCCCGATCGATCTTCTTCGTAGATGAAACGATTATGGTCGCATTGCATTGTTAGTATGATCATTAACACATTGTTATGTATTAGGACGCCTGATAAGGACGCTATGCCCTTTAATATATATATATTTTTAAGGAGATGTGCATTTCTATAAATGCATAAATGCGCTACAAAAAATGGGGAAAAGTGGACCTATAGAAACGAATTCAATGATCGCATTCAATGGCAATCGTGTTATATTGGAAGCAAGTTACAGTTACTCACATGTTCAAATTAATTTAAGATTAGTTACTACATTTGATATGGACGAACTCGATCTAACATGAAGTGAAACAATTTAAATGGAAATTCTATATGGACTTGCTTATGTGATGTCATACATTAGCATTAATTCTTTCAAGAGTCAGCAAACGTTCTGCCTGTTGAAGATTCAGCACATATTTTCCTAAATGAAAGTATTAATTTCAACAGCACTATGTGATAACTTTTCTATGCGCAAATGATCGTCCTTAAATGAGTCTTTAATCTTATCAGAATAAACGAAAAACTTAGCTGGAATGTTGGTTGATCTTTCTCAAAAAATTGTACATGAACCCTCAATTGAAATTGGCAAGGAACCTTCAAATTTTTCACCCTTTAATCATTTTATCAATATCATTAAAGTGAATAGTTATCTATAGTTAGATTTTTATTTAAAAGTTCGGATATATACTCGAGTTACATAAACCTCGATCTCGCAACCTGCAATGCAGACTTTAAGTGTTTATCAAAGTATGCCCGTTGTTCGCTGGATTATGAACCGAGCTGACAATCCACAAACCGTTGAAAAGGTCATAAGTTCCCAGCAAGTAGCTCACGCGTCGACACTCAAGTGCAGGGTTTCCTCCGCTGAGATATTACAGTATTTCTCCGCTCCACGAAATTGCCGCAGTCGCGTTGCATAGCGGGCGGAAACGGAGAAGACAGCATAGCGCTCGTCGCTGTCTTGCGGACCAGCGTCGCAAAACAGCTTATTGGACCCATGAAAAACCTGGCCATGAGCGTGTACAAAAGAAGATTTGGGACGCTCGTTGCAAAGTTACTGGTATCGAGAACTGCGCGTATCAATGACCGAGGCAACCACATAGGGACTCGTGATTTTGATCCAGAAATGGTCTGGAAATAAAAAAAATGCGTTGAGAGAAATGTGCCCGAAACGTCTTTGTTCTCACGCAACTTGTGAAGGAACAAAAGTTCTGTAGACTGCCGCGCTCCAGCCAATATCGGCGCGTCATTTCAGGTTTCCGGAGATCAGAGGTGAACTTCATGTTTATCTCGGAACAGTTGCAAACCTGAGGAAATTGCTACGAGAAAATTGCAAGAAACCGCGCG